GGCCTAGCCAGTGTTCGAAAACACTTTACTTAATCAGAATTTAATCCTGTCTTATGAGGGAGAGCGAGTACCCATAACTATCCTTATGTTAAAGAAGAAATGAGTGGGACTTGAGTAACTAGTAGATGTCATCACTGGGATTTAAGCCAGGTTTCTCTGACACAGAGCCCCAGTTTCTGATTCATTAGTTCTAGAGAAGGACCCAAGTGGTTGCATTTCTAAGAAGTTCTGGGACTAGGGTCCATACTTAGAGAACAATTGATCAAGGTATTTCCTGACTCATACCATAGACAAGTTTCCTGTTCTGCTGATTTTGGTCTTGTGAAGACATGCAATCCACATAATACTATTTATAAAGGTAACAATAACAACAATGGCAGCTAACATTAATTAAACACTATTTTACTATCGTTCAGGCACTACTCTAGGCCTATGATATGTGTTAATTCATTTACTGCTCAGGGTTGGGAGGTAGAAGAGAGAGAGCACCACAGAGTTTTGAGGTCAAGTACTGGCCCAAGTATACAAACTTCCAAAGTCAGACCCCTCACACTAGCAGGTAAGGATGTGAGAAAAGAGAGAGAAAAGGAGAAGGGCAGGGAACACTCTGATCCCCGAAAGTCAACATAGGACAATCTTGCAGTAGCATTAGTGAGGAGTGATTGCTGGATTTCAAATCGTGTCCTCCTCAGCATTTACCTTTATTATCAGGCACGCTATATAAGAGAATAGGTGACTAGATATTCAGGGGAGTGTGTGTGTGTGTGTGTGTGTGTGTGTGTGTGTGTGTGAGTGTGTACTCTTCTTGGTCTGTTATTCCCTAGTCATTTAATCTTGGGCAAGTTCCTCTTTAAGTTTCAGCCGGCTATCTACAAAACAGAGATAGTAGTGGTGGTGGTGGTGATGACGATGATGATGATGATAATGATAATGATGATACTATGGTAGATTGTTTATTGGTCACAGATTCCTCCCACTCAATGTGCACACTCCTTTGCAATGTGACTTTGCAGCTCTTCCCATCAAGAAATGGAATTTATTTCTACACTCCCTGAATCTAGCCTGATTTGAGAGTTGCTTTGATCAAAAGAATATGGCAGAAGCGATGTTGCATGGTTCCAGAGCCTGGGCCTCAAAAGACTTGTAGCTTCCACCTTTGCCTTCTAGTGAGGCTGCCCTAAACCATCATGAAAAGGAGCTGGTGTAGCCTACTGGGGGATAAGAGGTATAGCCTACTGGGGGATAAGAGGTCAAGTTCCTCTTAAGTTTCAGCCGGCTATCTACAAAACAGAGATAGTAGTGGTGGTGGTGGTGATGACGATGATGATGATGATAATGATAATGATGATACTATGGTAGATTGTTTATTGGTCACAGATTCCTCCCACTCAATGTGCACACTCCTTGCAAATGTGACTTTGCAGCTCTTCCCATCAAGAAATGGAATTTATTTCTACACTCCCTGAATCTAGCCTGATTTGAGAGTTGCTTTGATCAAAAGAATATGGCAGAAGCGATGTTGCATGGTTCCAGAGCCTGGGCCTCAAAAGACTTGTAGCTTCCACCTTTGCCTTCTAGTGAGGCTGCCCTAAACCATCATGAAAAGGAGCTATGTAGCCTACTGGGGGATAAGAGGTATAATACTGGGGGATAAGAGAGGCATAGCCTACTGGGGGATAAGAGGTATAGCCTACTGGGGATAAGAGGTATAGCCTACTGGGGGATAAGAGGCATAGCCTACTGGGGATAAGAGGTATAGCCTACTGGGGGATAAAAGAGGCATAGCCTACTGGGGGATAAGAGGTGGACAGCCTACTGGGGGATAAGAGGTATAGCCTACTGGGGGATAAGAGGTATAGCCTACTGGGGGATAAGAGGTATAGCCTACTGGGGGATAAGAGGTATAGCCTACTGGGGGATAAGCTGGTGTAGCCTACTGGGGGAGAACTTAGACTCCCCAGCCTACACCCAGCACTGACTGCTACTCATGCAAGTGGACCCTAACCCTAACCCATCAGTCATCACAAACCAGATGTTGTCTGAGAAGGAAAACAATGGACACAGTGATATTTTATTTTTACATAATTCCAAGCAATTAAGTCAAATGATTTTATTTCTTTCTTATACCTTTCTAGGCATCCTCTGTTGAGACAGAGTACCTTTTGAAATTACTTTCAAGGGACAGGCAGTTTATATCCCAAGTGACTCATTTTAACTTCTCACAGCATCTAACCACAGCTGTTTATAATGGACTGTTATAAAGTTAAAGCTCTTGCTAAATCAAATAACAACCTAGCAGGAATGCCCAGTCTAAGGCTTTAGAGTCATGAGAGCTGCAATTGTAGAAACTGTCTTTTGAAAGAGCATATCTTTTACACATTAGCTTTCCAGGACACAGTTAAAACTTTGCTTAAGCTTCAAGAAAAAAACTGGAACATGATATAGTTGGACGCATAGTCATTCTGATGCCCTACCTGGGAGCTCATATAAACACTGCAGTGAATCTCACTCCAGAAAAAGGCTACATGATCCAAAGCTGCAAGCCCAGGTCTGGTGCTGGATCATGTGAGCTCTGTAACACAGGGCTGGGTTGGCCCAGTGGGTATTGTGTCTGTAGAGCTCTGGAACTGGTTGTCTCAGACTCTTGACTGCAGCAGAGCCTGGCTACCCCTTGGACTTCTCTCTGTGTTTCACAATGGTTAAAGCTAGGCAAAAATGGGACAACATTCTTTTTGCTAAAAGACAACCCTTTAGTGTTCAGGCAGATAAATGTTTATAATAGTTTTTATTCAATATTTTTCTTATTTGACACACTTAATTTTTTTTCTGTACTGTTATATATATTTAAGCTATGATATAAATAAAATGTCTTGTAAACTGCTGTTAGAATGGAAGTTTTTGCTAGGCACATTCAGCCACAATGAGGAGGTGCTCTCCCAAGAAATACACTTTTTTTTTGAGATGGAATCTCGCTCTGTTGCCCAGGTTGGAGTGCAGTGGCACAATCTCGGCTCACTGCAAGCTCCGCCTCCCAGGTTCACACCATTCTCCTACCTCAGCCTCCCGAGTAGCTGGGACTACAGGCGCCCACCACCATGCCCAGCTAGTTTTTTTATATTTTTAGTAGAGACGGGGGTTTCACCGTGTTAGCCAGGATAGTCTCGATCTCCTGACCTCGTGATCCACCAGCCTCAGCCTCCCAAAGTGCTGGGATTACAGGCGTGAGCCACCGCGCCCGGCTGAAAGTATGTTTTCAAAAGTAAGTGGTGATACTACTCAGCCGTGAAAAAGAATGAAATAATGTCTTTTGCATCAACATGGATGGAACTGGAGGCCATTATCTTAAGTGAACTAAGTCAGACATGAAAAGATAAATACTGAATGTTCTTACTTGTAAGTGAGAGCTAAATAATATGTACATATGGACAGAGAATGTGGATTGGTAGACAATGAAAACTCAGGATGAGGGGGTTGGAAAAGGATGGATAATGAGAAATTATTTAGTGGGTACAATGTATGTTTTTTGGGTGATGGATACCCCCAAAACCCTGATGTTGCCACTATGCAATCTATACATGTAAGAAAATTACAATTGTAATTGTAACTTTAACTAAATGTAAAGAAAATTGTTTAAAACATTTAGTTAAAAAAAACTAAGTGGTGAATTTCTCACTCATGTCAGTGGTTGAAAGGGTTTGAGAGTTGGAGATTTAGGGAGAGCACAGTGCCAGTTGATGATGGTATCCTTAAGTCATAGCTCTCTTGCTTTCATATCCTGTCTTCCTTTCCCATTTTCCAAGCCCAGACAGATCCGAAACCATAATTATCAGGCTAGGAGAGGTGGGTGAAAAGCTTGGTGGAGAGTGAGAGAATTTGGACGTTTCCCTTTCCCTACTTTAAGCCCAAACTGGGTGGGGTGATGGGAGAGGTGAAGCTAACATTTAAGTCAAATTTAGAGTTCATGTTACTTCCTGGAATTGGCATTTTTGTTAATGAACTGAGAGTAAGTATTGAGTTTTAAAGTGATATAAAGAGTGTCCAGAAAAGTAATGGGTTTTTTCTAACTTCTATTCAGAAACAAAGGAAGAACTAGGTCACAGGAAAGATTTGTAGTAAAGGAAAAGTAGAGATAAAAATAAAGCCCCATGAGTTATTCAATGTACTGACTATATTTGTTTTGTGATCAATAATGAAACATGCGCTCACCAGCCGGGAACCATGTGCAATGTGAAATTCTGCACAATGCAAAAGATACCAGAATGCTAAATGGATGTGAAGTCATCTGACTTCTATAAATGATTTGGGTTGTTTATTAGGAAAAAGCTGAAGTCTGCCAGTGGAATCTCAGTTTTTTGATGTGCTATAATTACACATATTGCCTAAATGGTGGACTAAAACGCTGCAAGGAAAGCAAAACCAAAGAGATGAACACCTGAAGCAGAATCACTATTTGAACACTCCTGTGATGGTGCCACTCTGCTTCTCAGTCATTTGACTAATGTCACCTTGTGGAGGTGGTTCAAGGATGTTGATGTGGAAGCGGTATGTGACTTCCATTCATCTTTTACTGTGTTCCTGAGCCAATTACAGTGATTCTTGAATCTGCCATTGCTTTGGACTCTCTCCCTTCCTTTAGAGCATAAATAATTATGACACATATGCAGGGTTGCCTGCAGGGCACTGATTTTCATTTCTATTTTCTGGTTTCAGGACATGTGTAACACCATGAACGCTGACTTTGGTTCAGAAAATATGGCCAAGCTACAGTGATGCCATGGCAGCCTAATTATCTGCATCTCATAAAGATACAGAAATTTTGAGTCAATTTCAAAGATTTTCATTATGCAAAATGCTTTCCTGTACATTTAGCAGCCAGGACACAGAGTGAGAGTGCCCAATCCCCTCCTGCAGCAGTGGCATTTTTAGCAAAGCAAGTCTTTTCAAGCAATGAGCCTCCTGAGACATGCACAGACCACACTCCACACCCCCCTTCCTTTTACCTCTTCAGTGGTGCTGGAGAAGGGCTGAGTAGTCGACAAAACCCATGATGTGTCTGTAATTCCAGTCATGTGCAGATCGGGATGCTGCCTCTCGCTGCTGTTTTGGCTGTAGTTTTCTGCAGTATTTCTGATGAAGGCCTCTGTGGTATTTCTCATAAGGCGTTCCAGACTATCTGGAACTGCATTAAAGGTAGTGGGAATCTGGGGAGGAGCCGTGTTTCTAGTGCTCCTCACCGAAACTTCTGCTCCCAGGCCAGCTGAGGTAAGGAAAAGATAGTTGCAAAGATTATTCTCATGTTTCATGAATTCTTCACATAAAAATCAATTTTACTTAGCAAAAGAGGGCCTTTTCAATAATGGGCATGTGGATAAGCTTCAGTTAAATGAAAAAAGCAAATATACTTTGAGTGCGTGACAATGTTCATTTGTCCTGTCCAATTCACCCATCGTTTATCCATCTATCAATTTGATAAGCTGGAAGGAAAGTTGTAGAAACTACGCTACCAGAGAAAAATCCAGCTCTGTGTAGAAGAGAGCATTAAACCTATTCTATGAGAATTTAGGGGTTTATTGAATTGGCTTCAGGGGAATCCATGAGTCTCCAAAAACTGTGCAAAATTCTATGTATATGTGGATGTATGCTTTTCTTCTGTGGGGCACTGTAATAGCTTTTATTAGCTTCTCAAAGCATGTGTTAAACAAAATATTGGGTTGAGAATCACTGTTAATGACTTGCCTAACTTCACCACAAAGACTGACAATTCCTTGAAAAGTAATAACACTTCGTTAGCCACAGTGCAAACTGTTTCTAATGCAACTGTGTAGTCACAAATGATGAGACTGCGGTATTTTCTAAGCTATCTTCTGGAAGAACACAGAGTTGACTTACAATTTATGAGCTGGTGGGATTAATTTATAGCTTTGTTTTACAAGGGTGAATTGCCCATATTAAAAAAAAATTGGCTCATGAATTAGGTTTACTTAGCCATAATTTTAAAATGTGCTCTGCATCTCTTGGGGATCTTGCTAATGTGCAAATTCTGATGCACTAGAGATGGTCAGAGCCAGCATTAAGGTCTCAGGTGATGCTGATGTTGCTGGTTTTGGGGCTGCACTGTGTAGCAAGACCCTAGAGCACACTTGAAGCACTGAGAAGTTCTGTAAATTATGGTCTGATGTGGTGTGTTCAGATGTTTCCATCAACTCCATAGTGCACTAGAGTTTTATGGGATACAAAACCTCACAAAACCTTATATAATCAGATAAAAATACCTTTGAAGAGTTTCTGGCTAAAAGACTGGGAGAACGAGGATTTTATTTTTCACTACTCATTTACTGGTTATTTATTCAAGCAACTGTTTATTAAACAACTACTATGTGCCAGGTGAGGGCTCTTAAAGAAGCTATTTATCATCCTATTTCCCTGTTCTGGGCTGCCTTACCTAGCCCTCTTTTGAGTCTCATTCCTTTCCATTTCAATCTCAACTGATGAGTGTATTTCATCTAATAATATATGTAAAGAAGAGGGAGATGAGGGCACAAAAAGAGGATTAAGATGGAAAAGGTATTCTTATAATTTATCAAGATATAAATATCAGCAGTTCTTCTAAAAGTTAATAAAATGATCTTGGCTATAAAGCATCCTTTCCTTGAGATGCAAAGGGTTGTGCAAAGTACTGTGTATATAAGGGTGATGGATTTAGCAAATAAAAATACATCGTGTCCAGTTAAATTATAATTTTAGATAAATAGCCAACCAATTTTTAGTATAATTCAGTATGTTTAGTATATCCCAAATATACAATAATACAAAGATAACATACTATGTATTAGTAATACATGAAAGCTTGTTATTTATCTGATATTCAAATGTAACCGAGTGTGTGTATATCATCTGGCAGTCCTACTTGTACATCTACTAGATCTCAACTTTGATAGATTTTTGGACATTCCCCTTAGTTTCTGTTTGTTTTTGTCTTTCTAAATCTTGTGCCACTATTACTGCTTTGGTGCACAGGTTAGCCACTCTGGACATAGATCAGATTTATTCAGCCTTGGGGTGTTTTCTACATGACAAACTCAATTATACTATTAGTGAGATTCCTTTACAACACACTCCAAGAAACACTCTTAATTCTGCAGTCTTGCTTGAGTTAGGTGCTTGAATGTTCCCTTAAGTAGACGTTTGTCTATTGTAGGGATGTAAAAATTTCTGTATATGGAGATTAGCATTTTGATTGTTTTCAGCTTTGGTTGATCCTGATCCTCTGAGTTGACTGCTACATATGACGATTTTAGCTCTCAGACCCTCAAAAAAAATTTAACCATGGGGTTAGGACAAAAACAAGTTTCTAAATACCTAGCATGTAATTACATGTCTTAGTATGTCAACCCACGCTTACTCTTCTTCACTAAGGAGCTGTTGGTAAGTTTTTATCCTAAGAGCTTTTTAAAAAATTAGTCAGCTTACATAATTCAGTGGATGAAACTAGAGTTTCCCAAAAATAGATAAATTTTCAAAACACTCTTGAAATTTCTCTGCAAATAACATAGGTTATTACCATTGCACGTAGCTTTGGACTATCTTGTGGAAAAAGTTTCAGTCTTCTGTCATTATCTTTAATTAACCTTCTAAATATATTTTTAAAACATCCCATACCAAACAAGTTCATTTTCCATTTTAGACCACCACCTTTTTCCCAAAGAAAGAAACGACAGAATATTCAGGTCCAGAACCCTTTCATTTTGTGTCTGTCTTTTAAACTTGTGCTATTTAAGAAGCAAGAAAGAAGATTTAGTCTTAACATTCAACTTACAAGTTTTGTCAAATTTAAAGCAGTGGTTTGCAAACTTAGGTAGGCATCAGAATCACGTTTGGAGCTTGTTAGAGTATTGAAGCCTTGGTCCTCCCCCCGGAAAGTGCGATTTAGCAGACTTAGTGTGGGACCTGAAACCTGCTTTTCTAACAAGTTTCTCAGGTGATTCCTAATATACATGTACATATGGTTTTAGTTATATACGTAATATGAACCAAAAATAAATTGGAATCATTTCTTATGTGGTTACTGAAGGATTATAAAATGGATGGAAAGAAAGAAAATCCATTATAGAAATATATAAGATGATCAAACTAAGTTTATTTTATTTCCTGAACTCTTTGTTGAAATAGGTGCTATGAAATTTCATTTGAAAATAGTAGATCTTTGGATAGTTTGGTATCCATGAATTCTCTGGGTGTTCTTTAAAAATGTATATTCGTTTCACAGTTCATGAAATAGCAAGATGTTTTGACAAACGCAAGGAAAACTTCTTATACAATGGAACAATATGTGAAAGCTATTTTTGAAAGCTTTATTGTACCATTGTTACTACATTGTTTCCCTACTGTAACAATTTCTACTACACAGTTTCTCCCAGAACACAATTCAAGGTAAGGTCGACCATTCTTGGTCAATCTAAAAAGTTTTAGCATTCAAGTTGCATATAGCTCTTTTTATAGGGTACCATCAGCTTACAAAGTGATTTGTAATGGCTGCATAATATCAAGACCATCTTTCAAATTTATTTTTAAAAGAGCAATGTGTATTTTATCTTATAAATTAATATATGACTCAGAAATAATACTAGAAATACAATTTCTATAATGATGATAAAGATAATATATTGTGTAAGTTTCCCTTCTTTAAATGATACAAATAACTTTTAAGCATGTCAAAAATAAAATAACTTGAATGAAACTCATTTTTGGAATAGAAGAACTTAACTATACTGGTACTTTCTGTTCTGTAGGAAGATGCCAAATATAATATGCTTTTTTAAAAGTGAGTAAATCATCTGGAAAAGAGATAACAAATGAAACAGGAGATATTTTAGAAAAGGATGGTATCTAATCTATCTATCTATCTATCTATCTATCTATCTATCTATCTATCTATCTATCTAGTTGGCTCTTTGAATCTGCGGGTTCCTCATCGGTGGATTCAATCAATTGCAGATCAAAAATATTAGGAAAAAAAATGGATGGTTGCATCTGTACTGAACAGGTACAGACATTTTTTCCTTGTCATTATTCACTAAGCAATAAAACAACTATTTATATTTACATTGTGTTAGGCGTTATTAGTAATCTAGAGATAACTTAAAGTATACAGGAGAACGTGTGTATATGTAAACACTACATCATTTTATATAAGGAAGTTGAGCATCCTTGGATTCTGATGCCTGCAGGAGGTGCTGGAACCCACCCCCTACATTACTAAGGGATGACTGCACACACACACACACACTTGTGTGTGTGTGCATTAAATAAGGTTTGACTGGAATAGATGGGAACGATAATGGACTAAATAATTCTTTGAAAGGGTTAAAAGAATAATTAACATTTCAAAAAATATAATTAGTGAAATAAAGAGTACACCTAAAAATACATATCTAAATTACTTTTAAAAGACCCATGATTAGAAAGAAAGTAAAATTAATAAATGGAAATTGATACCAAGACATAGCATAGTAAAACTCTAAAGCATAGCACAGGGAAAAATTAGATGAAAAAAATTGAAAGGCTAACTAAGGCAAAGAAATATGCTTCAATAGCCAACTATTACTCAACAATTCTACCATGCGTTGCATTATGAAGATGTGCTTGTTTTACCTGATACCCCATGTTTCCTTTAGGAGAAAAGACTGAAATAGTAGGGTGGAAGTAAGGCATACTGGGTGGAGGAGGAAGAGTGGCTCCAAAGTTCAGGGCTATCAGGCTATAAGGAGAGAGGTGTCAAACCTGAGACTAAACAGAGTCAGGGAAAGGGGAGCAGGAAAGGGGGTGGATAACTTGGCATGCGCAAGACTGACTTGTCCATTAGACACAACAGGCACAGTGATTAGGGCCCAGGATAATTTTAGGGCAACACAATGATTTAATTTGTTTGAAAATAAAACAGAAATTTTAGAGTCAATGAAAATGTTTTAACTTTTTCATAGATTAGGAAAAATGAGAATTTTAGGCTACATGAAAATCTATTATTTTACTTTTCTTTTTTTCAGTAGGGGAAAGGGACCACAGAGGCAAAAGAACCCAGGGCCCATGAGAGTCATATATAGCCCTGTGTGCGCCCCGGTAAGTTCACGGATTTGTCACAGGTTGAATATGGTTGGGGAATGCTGGATGCTATACCTGCTATCTTCAGTGATCACATAAATCATATATCAATAATCACTGATAACATTATTTTCAGACATTATATTTAAAAATGGTCCA